TGATAAGTTCCTTTTCTTAAAACACAACCTCAAACCCTCTGCACATTCCTTAACATTCATTCTGTCCTGTAGCTTTCCTTTATCTCGTTTCAATATCATCTTTACTTTAACAGGATCCCTTTCCTTTTCCCCACTGACAAAATCTCCATTTATATCTTTCTGACTTATGACTGTTAGGGCACAGATCGTGATCTCCCTTTAACGACAAAGAGACTCCAGAGACTGCAAACAGCAAGCAGGGTTTATTGTAAGACTGGTTAGCCAGGGTCGAGCTGCCTACACAGACAGGCAGGTCAGATAGGTGAGGCAAGACCCGGAACTTCTTCAAAGGGGATCTTATATAGGCCTTCAATGGCCATTACAGCAAAGCCCGTGCATTTCATAGCCAATAGATTTGTAGCAACATATACTTTCTTAACCAATCCATTTGAAAGTACATCACTTCTTAGCCTATAGATTCAAGGATCAGCATTAACATACATGGGCAGTGTGGCTAGTGGGCATCTGGTAACTTGGACATTTGGTCATCACCTGGCTTCCTTTGATTCTCAGCCCTGCATTCTGGTGGAGGTGGATAAGGGAAAAGTTCCTAATGGAGGCAACAGATAAGGAAGGCCCAACAAATGGTTCCCCAATTTACATCCCAACAGGGAAGAGTCAACAAATGGTTTCAGAATTTGCATTCCAATAAGGAATGATATCACTCTAAAGCTCTGCTTAGGGAGGGGGCAGGAAAGGGAGAGTTACTAATTTGTAGAGTTTTAACTCTGGAATCTCCCTCAGGGTCCCTAGGGACCTAACAATAACATACATCTATAGTAGTACAATGTAAAATATGATCTCTAAATAAATTTAGACACAAGTTACCAACCATCTCACTTAACATGACAAAACTGTACTCTGCAGTGCTATTTCAAAAGCATTAGATCAGTTCTATAGATATACAAAAAGCCTTTAAAATGCTCACAATTAAAGCTCTTACAAGGTATATTCACTGGGCAAAAGATCACTTTACATTAGAAATTAACCAGGAGACATCTTAAAATTCTAATTCATAGGAAAACACAAATACAAAAAGATTAAAACACTCATATATTATCATGAAACAGAAAGCATTTCACACTTAGGTACAAAGTTCTCAGGTCAGGAGTAGGTAGATACCTGGAGACCCCGAGGAAGATTCCAGAGTTAAAACTCTACTAATTAGTAACTCTCCCTTTCCTGCCCCCTCCCTAGTAGAACCTTAGCTGTGAAGCCCTGCCTTATTGGGATGTAAATTCTGAAACCATTTGTTGACTCTTCCCTGCTGGGTTGTAAATTTGGAAATCATTTGTTGGCCCTTCCTGATCCTACCTCTGTTAGGAACTTTTCCCTTATCAGCTGGAATCAAAGGGAGACAGGTGATGACCAAATGTCAGAGTTACCAGATGCCCACTAGCCACACTGCCTATGTATGTAAATGCGATCTTTGAACTATAGGCTAAGGAGTGATGTACTTTCAAACATGTTGTTATAAATCTATTGGCTATGAAATGAGTGGGCTTTGCTGTATTGGCCAGTGAAGGCCTATATAAGATCCCCTTTAAAGAAGTTCGGGGTCTTACCTCACCTATCTGACCTGCGTGTCTGTGTAGGTGGCTGGACCCTGGCTAGCCAGTCTTACAATAAACCCTGCTTGCTGTTTGCAGTCTCTGGAGTCTCTTTGTCATTAAAGGGAGATCATGATCTGAGTCCTAACAAAAACCCTAGTAGAAAAGTTACATAACTTCCTCAGAGCTGAAAAGGAACTAAATGGAGAAAAAAAAAATCACAATCAGAGAAGGTGGTTTCTGGAAATAACTGCAACATCACTGAAAAGTCAGTAACTGAACAATCTGTGTTTCCATTTCTCCAGATTTCTTTCTGTCCCATTTGGTGTCAGCTAATGAAAAGAGGATTTGGTAAAGCTAGGCATAAAAAGAAGAAGCAAACGGCATAACTTGTCCTTTGTAAATGCCCAGATCTGAAATAGCACATGCCAAAGGGCGAGGTTTCAAATGGAAGCACACATGTGGACAGAAGAGATTGAGGACTGGAGGTTATGCTGGACAAGACAATTCCAGAAAGGAGGTTGTTCTTGTGACTGGAACCACTTAAATTATGGACTGACACCAACCTATTGTAGGCAAATTGATCTCTCAAGAGTGAGTTTGCTCAGATAGAGAAGGGAACACCAAGTAAAGGATGTTTGGAGGATTCGCTCAATACTCAATCATTGTATAACTGAAACCCAAGCACGAATGCTTGTAAGTCTACCTTATGGTGTTTCACTAATTCAAAAAAAAAATGAGATGCAACAATTTTCACAAACTTTCCTCTAAGGAAAAGTTTTTTGGATCATTTTTAGTCAATTACTCTAACAAGCAATGCAAAATAAATTATTTAGCGTCTGCCTGTGGGGCAGGCTTGGGAGGTGGTGTGAAAATTTGAAATAGTGGTGGGAAGGTGTAATGGTGGGATTGTTATTGGAATATTGAATGTAATCAATTACTGTGAACTGTCCTCCCATTGTTCATCGATTTTCCCAAGCGGGCCCAGTATCGTCTCCATTGTGAGACTTTGTTGTTACTGTGTTTGGCATATCGAGTACGTCACGGGTAGCTTGCCAGGCTCTGCCGTGCAGGCGAGATACTCTTGGTAGCTTGCCGGGCTCTCTGAGAGGGGTGAAGGAATCAAACTTGGGTCGGCCATGTTGGCTGCGTGCAAGGCAAATGCCCTACCGCTGTGCTATTGCTCCAGCCCGATGGAGACGTTACTGGGCCCGTTCAAGCAAATCGATGAACTGTGAACAACTTTATGAAAATAAAATTTAAAAATTATTTTTAAAAAAGAGTGAGTTTATGTGTTTCTGGATCACGGCTGTGTGGGAGTGTGCACTGGTGAAGGGATGGGTATCTGATGACCATATGATCGAGGTTCAAACATGAAATTTTTGTTACTATACCTCATGGTAAATTAATAAAAAAATTTTAAAAAGAGTGAGTTTAAGCTGAATGAAAACAGAAAGATAACTTTTATGCGTAGATCCAAAACTACAGTCCGTTCAAGACATTTGCCACTGCTTCCTTTCTGCAAATCCTCCTCACACTCAGGATGGTGGCTGAAACTTGAGAGCAATTTGTTCCTAAGAATATAGTGAACTCAGTTCCTGCTATGTTGGGGAACGGAAGCACTTATGAAATGTCCCAGGACTAAGGAATACTTCATGAGGAGCATATGACTAATGTATGAGAGGCCCTGAGTTCAAACCCTGGCCCCCTGAGCATTGCAAGCAGGGTACATGTCTACATAAACTATCTCAGCAATGAAACTTACTTTTAAAATAAACACAATGTTTCCTGGATCATTATGGTTCTCTTGAAGCTTGTTTTCCAATTTATTTCATTGACAATTATTTTTTAAGGAAATACATCCTCAGAATCTTCAGAATATATTTCTGCTGAACCTTTAATCATTGCACTGCATATATCCATGCATCTCTTTATTTTTGACCAGGTTTCTAGTGACAGGGGTTAAGAATTTGCATCAAAATGGGTATTTCAAACATGCTATAAAGAATGAAAATAAAGGCTAAAAGTATAGTATAGGTGTTTCATCACATTCCTTGCATGGGGCGAACTCAGACTCAATCCCAAGCACAACATATGGTCCCCAAGCACTGTGCTTGGAATGATCCCTGAGCACAGAGCTAGGAAGAAGTCCTAAACACAGCTGAGTGTGACCCCAAAACAAAAATATAAATGACACAAAGATGAGGACAGGTAGACTGCTGCCTTTTCCAGGGTGGAAAGTACCCAGAGAAATGGGAAATAGGAAAAGATAGTATGAGGTTCTGGGAAGCAGGACCAGGGAAACGAGTGCAAGTGATTCATGTAGAGAACTCTTTGGAAACTCTAGATCTTCCATTGGGGGAAGCGAGGGAACATTGTCAGTAGGGAGGAGTGCCCAGCTGTACTGAGGATTACTCTTGACTTGGTGCTTCTTTAAGTAGTTCTGGCAGTGCTGGGGGCTGGGACATTGATGCTGCAGATAGGAGCAAGATTGACTACAAGCAGGAAAAGCACAAGAATTCCTGTACTGTCTCTCCAGCTCCAGAGATTCAGTGATCTAGTTCTTAATCAGAATGCATCATGCAGCCCATGCCTATGTGCCTAACTAGAGCTTCACTTACACTGAACTTTTAGAGACCACTGTGAAGTTATGGGGATGGTTTCCTGCCTGTCCTCTGGGAGTGTAAAGATTTTTCTGTTTCAAATTCAAACACAATGAGGGGCCTGAAAGCAAGAGTTTGTTGCTTTGACAGCATTGTCCTAGAGACTTTGATTCCAGTGGGATTTCAACGTGGGATCTTGTCTTTTGCCCCAGTAACTGCAACTCTTATCCTCCTGGTTGCTACCTAAGAGACACATCCTGAGGTTGTCCATCCTGCTTTCAGCATCTGTTCAGGTCTGTACTGTGCCTTACTTTTACTGTACTGTGTCTAGAGCTCTCAGGGTTTCTCTGTCTCACTCTACACTTAGCTGCTTTTAAAAACTTAGGTAAATTCCTTAACTTAGGTGAATCGAATATTTACTCCCAGATAAGAAAATTTTGTAAGATCAAAGACTCAGTTCCAATACTGGAACTGCATTAGCCATATGTTGCAGATTTGAAGATTTCTAAGGAAATGTCAAAAGCGGGTTGTAGATTGGCAAAGGTGCTTAATCCTCTGACAGAAAGACCCCTCATCAAGGAGTAGCCCCTTTGCAGTTAGGTTGTTGTCTAAAACTAGATTGACAGAAAATGACCCTCTTGCAAGAGATCTACATCCTGAGACCACAAATGTGCTGCAGCTCATTTACATGTGGTGGCTTCAAAAGGAGAAGTTTAAGCTTTGTTTCATAGTCACAGTGTCTGCTTAACATTCTACTCTGTAGTCAACCTTTGCCTACTATTTTTTTTATCTTTTTTATTTATTTTCATAGTCATCAATGTCTGAAGAAATTACTTATGCAGATTTGAATTTCCAGGACCCCAGTAAGAGAGAAAATACTGTGGCGTTTGAGAAACTTGAGATAGAAGGTAAGATTTTTGAACTCTAAGTATGTTACGGGTGGTAAAGTGAAGTGTAGCAGGTGGTTATGTCTGTGGGAATGAGCAGTAAAGTACAAGCATCCTAAGAAATGATGAGAGAACAATGGTTCTGCAGTGTGTGTGTGTGTGTGTGTGTTGTGTGTGTGTGTGTGTGTGTGTGTACAAGAGAGCCAGTGACATCTGGGGTTGAGCCTAAGCCTCAACCGGAGCTTAAGCCTCCGTCATGCAAAGATATCCTGTTGAGCTTTAGCTCTGACCCGGGAATTTCCATTTTTAATAAAGCTTCCTATTTTTCCCAAAATTATGTGTTCACACAAAATGTTTATACCATTTTTAAGGCACTTATCATTGTCTTGAATATTCAATCTTTCAGAAATTATTTTTTAATATTAAACTCAATATAATCAGTATAAGATAGTATTTCATATGATTATGTTTTGATCTTTTTATCATAAAATGATGTCACAAAACAAAAAAATCTGTTATTTAGGAAAGTCTTATTTTATAAATTCTCTTTAATAGGAAAGTACTGAATGTGTGTATGAGACAGAGACAGAAAGACTAAAAAAAGGAGACAGAAGTTAAATTCTCTATTTTGATTCTATAATATGTCAAGCATATATTATCCTAAAAATTCTTCTGGTGATCTTTACCCAGTATACTGAAATACAGACAAGTTAAAATGAGTAAGAGTATACATCAAAAAGTAAAGAAAAATATAGGTAAATACTGGCAGATGTAACACCCATGGATTCTCAGTCTACAAATTTTATTTTTGCGAGCTATCCATGTATCATATAATGACCATTTAAATCATGCAAGATTTTCATAATTCTGTATTTATAATAAGAAGTTCATAATACTTGAGATTTTCTTTAAGAGGGAAGTGACTATTTTTTACTTATTGCTCACCAAAAAGAAAGCCTTCAACTAAAATCTGTTCCTAGAACACACAAAATATTATAATAAGAAAATGATTTATATTTGCATTTACTGAGACCTGGCTAAGGGAGGATGCTAGGGACATCACAAAGATGTAGTCTACCATTTATGCTCCAAGGGCTCAGTCTCAGGATTTCTAGGGAAAATATAAGTAACAAATTATTTTTGGCACCCTAATTATTTATTTAAAGAATTCTCAGGTTGGCCTCTTTCTGAACAGTCAGTGACAGTTTCCCCCAATTTATACAGACCAGATATGTGGTATATTTAGATTTGTTGGTTTTCTCTCTTTTCTTCTTTGGGAAATTTTCTGCTATTATTGAGTCATCATTGATTTATGACATTATGGAGTTTCAGGGGTTAAACAACTCACACTTTTTGAAACTCCAGTTTTACTTCTCAGGCATTTGAACTATCTTACCAGTGAACAGTCCCATCAGTGGGAAGCAGGTGGCACACTAAATAGCTTATAAATTTTTCTGTTCTTGTTTTATTCTTAAGGAAAGGAAAATGTCCTGGGGCCAGAATGAGAGTACAGTAGGTAGAGCATTTGCCTTGCACCAATGTGACCCTGATTCCATCCACCGCATCCAACACAGTCCTCGAGCACTACCAGGAGTAACCCCTGAGTATCACCTAGAGTGGCCCCCAAAAACAACAAGGACAAATTTATCATTCGGTGTCTAGCAACAGGGACATGTTATTTGGAACATGTGGCTAGGAAAATGGAAAGAAAAAAATGAATATAAAATAAATGAATGAATGAATAAAAACTTAATAACTCAATAAGGCTCTACTTGAGCTCTCTTACAGTGCTCTTAACTTTTCTTCCACAGCTTGCCCTCCACCTTCTCGTGTATGGCACCTCAGAGTTTTGATTTTTCTTTGCCTTCTCCTGATGATTGGACTGGGAGTCTTAGGAGGAATGTGTATGTATTATGCATGTTTTTAATGAAAGAAAAAGCCTCCTGAATTACAGCAGTTTTACTTTTTAAATTAAGTATTTTGAGGCTGAAAAAAAAAACAGTGAAGTGGCATTTGCCTCGTACATAGCTGACCTCAATTCAATCCCAGAGACCAAGTATGGATCCCCTGAAATTTACAGGTGTGATCTCTGAACACAAAGTCATGAGTAAACCCTGAGTACTGCTAGATATTCCTGCACCCTTCCAAAATTAAATACAATTACTGTTATGTACTATCAAAGAGGATATATAATATTCTACTTAGTCTTTTTCCTTCATTTAAAGGAATAAAGTGACTAATTTCATAGACCTTAGACTCCTTCTGCCTAAGAAAGGTGATGATTATTTCAAATAACTAAAATGTTTAATCTTCTCCCTTGTTTGATATGGAGTTTATGTCACATTCGAGAAACAAATGGAAAAAGTAAATAAACTGCAAAAAGGCAAAGATGAACTTCAAAGAAATGTTTCCCTACAAATGATGGATAACATGAATAACACTATGATGATAGAGAAACTCTTTATAACTCTGCAAAATATGACCACAAAATTATGCCGTGAACTACATAGAAATGATAAAGGTAATTCTATATTCTTCTATGAGATATTTACTAGAAAATGAATTTAAGCCAATGGTCATTGCTATGCAACAGTACCTAATGATGTTTCTCACAGAAGCTGTTACTCAAAGAGGGAGGATTTTATTTAGACAGAGGACACATAAATATTTCTGTGTAGTTAGTAGAATAACAGAAAAGGTAATTATAACTCTGCACTCCCAAATACCTTTTATTTATAGTTACTTAATAAAGTGTTATGCAGCATATGGCTTATCCTATATGACCTTTACTATGATTATTTGGGAACTGATATCAGTTGAAGATAGAAAAGAATTATCTTTATAGGAGAACTCATTCTTAAAGTTCAGTCCATCTGTTCCATGTGTGATGAGTATTAATGCAAAAAAATTAAAAAGCATATCTTACCCTTGGTATCGGTAGTGTTTTTAAGAGTTTCTATGAATATTAAAAGTAAAACGTATCATGTGCTTTTGACAAGACTTGGACAGCAAGTCAGAGTTTAGAAGTGCTTAAACTCTGGTGAAAATTGATGTAGGTTGGGCATTGATCAACACCAAACAATGTTTCTTCTTTTTTCTTTTTAAAAAAAATTTGAATAGTGAAACACCATGAGATACAGTTGTAGATTTACAAATTTTTGTGCTTGCGCTTCAGTTATACAATGATCAAGTACCCATCCCTCCACCAGTGCCCATTCTCCACCACCAATGATCCCAGTATACCTCCCACCCACACCCCATCCTCCCATCGCACCCCGCCTCTGTGGCAGGGCATACCCTTTTGTTCTCTTTCTCCTTTTGGGTGCTGTGGTTTGCAAAAGAGGCATTGAGTGACAATCATGTTCAGTCTATAGTCTAATTTCAACATGCATCTCCCATCCTGGGAGGATCCTCCCAACACCCTCTACTTGGTGCTTCCTTCTCTATCTGAGCTGCATTTTCCCCTGGCATGTGCAGCTGGCCTCCAAGCCATGGATTGAACCTCCTGTTACTTATCTCAACTATTCTTGGGTGTTAGTCTCCTATTTTGTTACTTTATATTCCACAGATAAATGCAATCTTTCTATGTCTGTCCCCCTCTTTCTGACTCATTTCACTTAGCATGATACTTTCCATGTAGTACACTTGTGTGTAAATTTTCATGACTGCATCTTTTCTAACAGCCAAGTATGCCATTGTGTAGATGTACCAAAGTTTCTTTAACCAGTCATCTTTTCTCGGGCACTCAGTTTTTTTCCAAATTTTGGCTATTGTGAAAAGTGCATCAATGAACATAGAAGTGCAGATTTCATTTCAACTGTACTTTTTTGCCTCTCTGGGATATATTTCCAGGCGTGGTATTGCTGAGTCAAATGGGAGCTCAATTTGTAATTTTTTGAGAATTGTCCATACTGTTTTCCAAAAGGTCTGAACCAGTCGGCATTTCCATCAGCAGTGGAGTCCCTTTCTCACCACATCCACACCAAGACCGATTGCTTTTGTTCTTTTGGATGTGGGCCAGTCTCTGTGGTTTGAGATGATATCTCATTGTTCTTTAGATCTTCATTTCCCTGATGATTAGTGATGTAGAGCATTTCCTCATGTGCCTTTTAGCAATTCGGATTTCTTCTTTGAGAAAGTTTCTGTTCATTTCATCACCCCATTTTTAATGGGGTTGGATGTTTTATTCATGTGAAGTTCAACCAGTGCTTTGTATATCCTTGATATCAACCGCTAATTAGATGGGTATTAGGTGAATATCTTTTCCCATTCTCTATATTATCTTTGTATTCTGGTCACTGTGTCTTTTGAGGTGCAGAAGCTTCTTAATTTAAGATAGTCCCATTTGTTTATCTCTGTTTCCACTTGGTTGGTCAGTTGAGTGTAGTCGTTGAAGATACCGTTGGCCTCATTATCGTAGAGGGTTTTACCAATCTTGTCTTCAATGTCCCTTATGGTTTTGGCCTGATGTTGAGATCTTTAATCCATTTTGATCTGACTTTTGTGCATGGTGTTTAGGTCGATGTCTAAGCCCATATTTTGCATGTGGTTGTCCTGTTATGCCAGCACCATTTGTTGAAGAGGCTTTCCTTGCTTCACTTCACATTTATTGCTCCCTTATCAAGGATTACATGTTCATATATTTGATGTTGTGTGTAGAGATACTCCACCTTGTTCCATTGGTCTGCGACCCTTCCTTTGATCCAGTACCATGCTGTTTTAGTTATTACCGCTTTGTAGTAGAGTTTGAGGTTGGGGAGTGTAATGCCTCCTCATGTCTTTTTCCCAGGAATTGCTTTAGCTATTCGTGGGTGTTTGTTGTTCCATATGAATTTCAGTAGTGCTTGATCTATTTCTTTGAAGAATTTCATGGGTATCCTTACAGGGATCACATTAATCTGTATTAATGTGAATCTGTATAATGTTTTTGGGAGTATTGCCATTTTGACAATGTTAATTCTTCCTGTCCATGAGCAGGGGATATGTTTCCATTCCCTCGTTTCCTCTTTTATTTCATGGAGTAGCGTTTTGTAGTTTTCATTTTAGAGGTCCTTTACCTCTTTAGTTAGGCTGATTCCGAGGTATTTGATTTTCAGTGCATGGTTGTGAATGGGATTTTTTTTTCATATCACTTTCCTCTGTCTCTTTATTTGCAATTAGGAAGGCCATGGATTTTGGGGCATTAATTTTATAGCCTACGTCTTTACTGTACAAGTCTATTGTTTCTAGGAGTTTCTTGGTAGAGGATTTAGGATTCTCGAGATATAGTATCTTACCACCTGTGAATAGTGAGAGCTTTATTTCTTCCTTTCCTATCTGGATTCCTTTAATGTCTTTTTCTTGCCTAATCGCTATTGCAAGTACTTCTAGTATTGAAATATTGAACAGAAGTGGTGAGAGTGGGCATCCTTCTCTTGTCCCTGATCTTAGAGGAAAGGCCCTTAGTTTTTCCCCATTGAGAATAATGCTTGCCATGGGTTTGTCATAGATGGCTTTGATTTGATTGTTATGAATACACTGTAGCATTAGGTAAGTACCCTAAATAGAAGATTCATATGCTTTATACTTGCTGTAGCACTGTAGCACTGTCCTCCCGTTGTTCATAGATTTTCTTGGAAGGTTTCCTCTGATAGGTCTGCTGTAAATCTGAGGCGTGCTCCTTTGTATGTGATTTCCTTCATTGATCTTGCTGGTTGCAGCATTGTGTCTCTATCCACAGCATCCCTCATTCTGACTATGTTATGCCTTGGAGTGTTTTTATTCGGGTCTCTTTTAGCTGGCACCCTTCTGGATCCTTTGATCTGTATGTCTGCATTCTTTAACACTGGGAACTTTTCAGGAATGATTTCTTTCACTGTGGCTTTTTCATTGGTGTTGGCTCCCTGTCCTTCTGGTACTCCGATGATTCTAATGTTGTTCCTCTTGGCGTCATCCCCTAGGTTTCTGATTTGTCTTAGAGCTATTTTGAGATCCCATTGTTTGTTGTTGCCTATATGATTTCTGTTGCTTATCTTCAAACTCACTCATCCTGTCTTCGTCTGTAGTCATTCTACTGCTGAGGGCACCCACTGAGTTTTTAATTTCATCTACCGAATCCTTTATTTGTGACACTTCTTTTTGTAGCTTTTTTGTTTCTGCTCTCATTTCTTCCTGTATTTTCTCAACCATCGTTCCACTGTTTCTTTCATTTCTTCCTTTAATTTTCTGGATGTTTGCCCCATTGATTTTTTGAGTAGTTCCTTGAGCATCCTCAGCATTTCATCTCAGAATTTTTTATTGGAGAGAACATATTTGTGGGTAACCCCTGTTGAGGATTCGGGAGTATTTTCTTCGTCCTCTCCTCATAGTGGAGATTTGTGCTGTTTCTTCATGCTGTTGTGGTTGTCCAGAGGTGAAACCTTGGGATTCACTAGCACTGTTTCCTCTTGTTGCGGGAAAGGATTCTGAATAAGACGGTCGATGATGGTCACCCTTCTCCCCTTCTAGAATATGTCCTTCCTCTCAGACATTATTCTGTGGCTTATGACAGGCATCTAGTGAAGCATTGAAAGATATGTTCTTTTATATTGGGCTTGTACAGCTTCTTTGCGTACTGGTCTTTTTTTGGAATAGAAATAGGCCAGTGGATTATTGTTTTGAGGTTTAGGTGGCCGGGACTTTTTCCACAGAATTAGGTGATAAAGGATAGTATGTGAGTCGAGAATGCTGGGAGAAGGAAATATAACTGCAGCCACACAGAAGGCCACAGCCACAGTTGAGGAGGCCATGCCCCCTACAGCAGAGGCCACACCCCCAGCCAGTCTCAAGGACTCGCTGACCTACGAACCTGCAGAGGAGGGCAGCTGAGGAGGTGGGCAGGAGGTCCAGCAGAACTCGGGCTGGTGTTCTTCAAAGTCTCCTCTAGCTGCCCTGCGATGAGGGCGCAGCGCAGAGGAAAAAGGGAGCGTGCGTGGAGTGCAGGACAGTGACGCTCCCCGGCTCCCCAATGAACCTGCAGAAGAGGGCCCACACAATGTTTCTTGTGATTAGTTGTTTTGTTTTGTTTTTTAATTACCATGTAGGAATATGAAAAAATTGGTCAGAATGAATAAAGGAAATTAATCATAATTCAGGGCTCCTGTGTAGGAAAACACAATAGAAAACAGCTTGGTTTTTAGAACTGTGTTGATTTGATTGCTATGGATCCACTGTAGCACTATGTAAGTACCCTAAATAGAAGATTCATATGCTTTATATTTGATGTAGCACTGTAGCACTGTCCTTCAGTTGTTCATCGATTTGCTCAAGCAGGCCCAGTAACATCTCCATTGTGAGATTTGTTGTTACTGTGTTTGGCATATCAAAAACGTCACGGGTAGCTTGCCAGGCTTTGCTGTGCGGGCGAGATGCTCTCGGTAGCTTTCCAGGTTCTCTGAGAGGGGTGGAGGAATCAAACCTAGGTTGGCTGGGCTGGCCACGTGCAAGGCAAATGACCTACTGCTGTGCTGTCGCTCCAGTCAATATTTGATGTATATAGAAGAAAAACAAGTGAATTTGGTTGAGTCAGCACAGAGGATAATAGTAGTGATAGGATAAAGATTATCAATACAAATCAAAGAAAAACTGCATCTTTCTTTCAGAGCACGAATGTCAACCTTGTCCAAAGAGATGGATATGGCATGATGACAAGTGTTACTTTTTCAATGAGGACACTTTTGAAACATGGCAAAATAGTAAAGAGATATGCTCTAATATGAATGCGACCCTGTTGACTATTAAGAGCAGAAGTGTATTGGTGAGATCCTGTGGCTCATTTCCTGTGAGAAGGAGGGTGCCTTTCCCAACAGATGGAGAGCAGGCAGGCCTGTGAAGATCTGTGTTAATCCAGACGCGATCCTAACAGCTTTTAGTTGGGTCCTAAGGTGACTAAAATAGGGTAGAATAATGCAAATCGTGCAAAGCTGTTGCTTAGGATCTTAGCATCAGAGGGTCTGGGCAAATGGGTAAACATGAGCCCCTAGAATCTTTGGGTCCGTGAGTATTTCCAATCTGGCTCACACCCTGATTTACTGAATATCTGCATGCTTTCTTAATTCCCCATTTTGCCAACTTCCTCATGTAATCAATTATAAAAAGCTAGCTTGGGAGAAATAAATTTGGAGCTTGATCAGAGTCTTATCTTGCTCCCATTCTTCTGTTTCTCTTTATTCCCACTCACACCCCCTCTCCTGGTTATCCACATTGACTAGTCCCAAAGGTCAGGGCAGGGTGGTAGGGATTAAACCTAGGTCTGCCACATACAAAGCAATCACCTTACCTCTGTACTCTCTCCAGTTCCTATGCAATCAGTCTCATATGAATTAGCTCTATTTTTCTCTTACACTTTTTGTTTTTAGTAACTTATGTTTTTAGTTATTAATCACCTCCTCTGCTCCTCTGTAGGAATTTATAAAATCACGGAAAAAATTAAAAAGATCTTGGCTGGGTTTATCCTTCCCAAAATGTAGGATTCCCTTCTACTCCAAAAGCTTAGATTCAATTAACTTCTCTGAGAGGTAAGTTTCAATTCTTGTTGGATTTAAAAATTTGGTTTGAATAAGGTCTATTCAGCATAAGAATTTTAGATTACAATTAAGATCAGTTTATATTAAAATTTCATCCTTAATAAGTTATTCCAGGCTTCTATATAGTGTTTAAAAAGTGCAAAATTTATCACAAAGATATTATTGATAAATTTTGTTTGTTTGTTTTGCTTTTGGGGGCTGGAGCGATAGCACAGCGGGTAGTGCATTTACCTTGCATGCGGCTGACAGGGCCGACCCGAGTTCGATTCCTCCACCCCTCTCAGAGAGCCCGGCAAGCTACCGAGAGTATGTCACCTGAACAGCAAAGCCTGGGAAGCTATCCATGACATATTCAATATGCCAAATACAGTAACAAGTCTCACAATGTTACTGGGCCCACTAGAGCAAATCGATGAACAATGGGAGGACAATGACAGTGACAGTAACAGTTTTTTGGGTCACATGTGGCGAAGCACAGGGGTTACTCCTGGCTCTGCACTCAGGAATTACTCCTGACTGTGCTCAGGGGACCATATGTGATGCTGGGAATCAAACCCAGCTCGGCCGCATGCAAGGCAAATGCACTACTTGCTGTGCTATCATTCCAGTCCTTCATCTTGATAAATTATTGACCAACTATATGCTAAGTGTTTGAAGGCCACTGAGATCTTTGATATATTTAAAATAATGATTAGTTCTGAGACTCAAAGATGAATGAAAAGTTGATTTTTCTTTTGGTTACTTAACCATGCATTGTTTGCATAGACTAAATTTTACAGATTAAAATACTGTATAGGTAAAAAGAACACATTATGATAAACGCTTCCTTAATAATGCAAAGAATTAGCAAACAAATTCTGGATTTGAAATTTGTGTTATTAGCAATATTTGAAAATGTAAATTTTAAATTAATAATGTAAACTACAAAGCATTTCCAGGAAAGATAATAAGGTGAATAGAGATGTGATATACTGCATATGTGTTATATATAAAATATTTTGCTGCTTAGTATATTGAAGAAGTATAGTTAAGATATACCATTGTAAATTGATTCATGTGCATTCTATTTATAATGAGAATTATAAAATATATGTTCTATTTATAATGGGAAAATCAGTGCCTACATAAAAGAACAATAAAATTTCATTTATGTATTATATTTATTATATTCTATTCATTTGTATATTATATTACCTTAAATTTGGGAATAGAAAGGCTGACTGAAGAAGAAAACCTGAGACTCTACCTACTGAATAGTAATGCAAGCCCACAACTTATTACATCTTTGTTAAGTTATTAAAGTGTCTGGAGGAGATACTAAGTAGGAATGGGCTCATGACAATGAAGTAGGCTACCATCACTTTGACTCAGAATCCTTGGTATTTCCACTTAATCACTACTAAAAAAATAAATGATTTGCAGATTTTCTTTTGTTGTTCTTGCTTTTCACCTTCAAATAGGAATAGCAGATATTTGTAAGTGACTAAGAAAGACTAACAACACTATCTTTGATAGTTTGCAATGAAACATAGCAATAGTGAAAATGTGATATTTTAAAGATATAATTTTGAATGAAGAAATGATGTTAGTGTATGTTCCAGAGAAAGCATGCATGGAATTTTGTTTAGAAAATGTAGAATTTCCAAGTTTTTATTTGTAAGTAGTTTGAAGGTAAGATCATTTACAGTAGGATAGAATATACAGTAGATATTCCAAAATATTAAAAAATCACTCTGAAATTCAAAGTACATGCAAAGCCTTACATGTGTATATAATGTACACTAATATATATATTATATGTATCTTTATATTACCCACATAATTAATTTTTTTCTATTCTTATTTTTATTTGGTGCTTATTTATATAAAAGGGATGTGATCAATTATATATTATCTCATAACAAATAGAAAATATAACATGTTAAAATTAATTAATGAACCTAATTGTTGATTTGTAACTATTTATTTGTCAAAAATTGATGCTATATTCTTTTCTAGAATATATATAGAGATTCAGTCTACCATTTGTTTTCATTGTATGATCCCTGATGAATAATTTTGTGTTAAGCACTAGTTGTTATTCAACACACCAAAGTAATATCTTTGAAAAATGACTAAAATTACTGTAAGTAAATGTCACTTGTATGTGATATTGAGATTTAGATATTGTGTGCTAAGTTATTTCCTGCTTCTGTTAAATATAAGAAACATGGGGCTGGAGCGATAGCACAGCGGGTAGGGCGTTTGCCTTGCACGCAGCCAACATGGCCAACACGGTTCGATTCCCAGCATCCCATATGGTCCCCCGAGCACCGCCAGGAGCAATTCCTGAGTGCATGAGCCAGGAGTAACCCCTGAGCATCGCTAGGTGTGATCCAAAAAGAAAAAAAAATAAGAAACATGTTTGAAGGATAGTGCCAAAGATTTACTACAGGACTAGTTAGATTAGAGACTCTAATGAAATTTCATTAATCTAAATTTATATTGCTTATTGGGGTAGCAAGTGTTAGCATCTTCAAATAATGAAAGCCAAATATTCCATATGTGAGAAAGTAGAAAATACATAGAGAAGTTGCATATTTGTCAAAAAAAAAAAGAACAAACGAGAGTTTGGATATTCTTGCTATTATCAATAATTAAATTTAATTTTAATGCAGTATCTAGAAGCAGTAATATCTTCAAAAGTAATATTTTTTTGAATATGCTTGTTCTTTGGGAAACTATAATTCTTTTCTTTCCTTTTCAGGTTTATCAACAGTACAAATGACTTAAATGATGAAATATATTGTGGGTCTTTAGACACTTCTTTCCTTTATTTTGTGACCTGCAATATTAAATACCGTTTTATATGTGAGAAGATTGCTAATCCAGTTAAGATTGAAAGCGTACTAATGAATGAAGTACCAGATAGAAGACGGTAGAGCAATTGTTTTGTCTCGTCATTCTCCTGCAATTAAAAGCAACACAGGGGCATATATATTGTGGGTCACAGAAGTGTAATAAAAATGCTTAGACACTCAGTTTCTGCCTCTCTCATAACAATTTGCATTTTCAAACTTTCTTCTCTGTTCTTCGTTGCTCAAGCTACTGGGTAAAAGATACTAAACTCAGCTTATCATTTAAGCATGGGCCAGATGCTGTTGAGCAGAATCAAAAGGATATTTATACTTGGATGAAAAGAGACACAAAAAAGGAAACTAGCATCTCCTCCTTTCCCAAAATGAAAAAAAGACAAATACCAACCTTATTAGAAGGAAGGAATGGAGGAAAGGAGAGAGGGAAGGAAAGAGGAAGGAAAGAAAGAAGGAAGGAAGGAAGGAAGGAAGGAAGGAAGGAAGGAAGGAAGGAAGGAAGGTGAAAAATAGAGAAAGAGAATGCCAAAATTTTCCCAAGCAAATTACTCATACTTTTAACATTTATGATTGAAAAATGTTCCACATATTCATCACTTCCTGCACAATCTCATGTTTTAATTTATTTTCCATCCCAGTGACTTGTAGCATTATTTATATTTTACAGTTTTTATTTTTTTTAATTACAAGTATTCATTGATTAACGGCATATGTATTCATCACATATCTTTTGGGAAATTTGAGCATGAATTTAATTTTTGCCTGTGTATGTGTAGATATAAGTAATTAACAGAATTCCATGACATCCAAAGGACAATATTTAAGATTTAAACAATTCCTTTTTCTGATTTTGTTTTTGGGCCATATCTAGCTGTGCTCAGTCTTACCCCTGGCTCTATACTCAGGAATCACTCCTGGTGCTCGAAATATCATATATGGTACTGGGGATAGAACCAGGGTTAGTCACTGTAAGGCAAACTTACTACCCACTGTATTTCAGGTTTAGCAATTTTCTTTAATGAAATTTTTGTTGGGGTGGCGGGGGGCACTCAGCAGTATTTAGGGTTTAGTCCTGGCTCTGTGCTCAAGGACCACTCCTGCTGATGCTCAGGGGAATATACATGGTGCCGGGATTGAACCCAGGTCAGCTGCATGCAAGCCAAGTGCCTATCTGCTATACTATCTCTACAGCACTATAAGTGAAATTTCCTTATTATGCCCCATTGTCCAAAGCCATTCCAAATATGTGCTCTGTGCTCAAGGACCACTTTTTTGCCTTGCCACAATTGTGTGCTTTCTGTTTCTGATTATATAATCACCTTCCTTTATCTTCATCTATCTTTCAGATGTTTAGATTCTATCTGTTTGTTTTTTTTAATTTGGGTTTTGGGCCACACTCAGTGATGCTCAGGAGTCGGACTATATGAGATACTGGGGATTGAACAGGAGTCAGCCTCATGCAAGGCATACACTTTACTCTCTGTACTTTTGCTCCAACTCAGAGACCTTTAGATTCTTTGTCAATTGTCTATTCTGCGTTGCGTCCTTTCCTCTCCCAGTCCTCCCCAGAGTCCCATCTTCCTAATCACTCTGGGTTAATCTTTTGCAATATTCATTCTGCAGCATTTGTCGCTGTTCCAGGAACTGTCCTCACTTAGACCACACATATGTTGTTTTCTTTTGTTTCTGCTTTCCTTTACTACACTGTCATCATTTTTTTCAGTGGTTGTTCTTCTTGTGAGCTGGCCAGTTTAAATACAGCCAGTGATGAATGGGGCTTTGATAAAGGATTTTAAAATAAATAACCACTGGTTGCAAAACAATCCAAGTTGCTAACAGATCTAGTGAATGCAGTCTGAAATATGACTTAATTTGTATGTGGAGTGAGTGAGGACACAGGATGGCACATAGTTTCTGCCTTGGTCAGATTTTGCAAGGGGGCACTTTAGAGCAGAAGTTGGCAAAGGGGAACATACTGTGTTGAAACTGAAAGAAAGGGGAAATTTAAGTAACTGACACCTGAGGAACAAACAACTAACTGGCATTAAAAATAGCACAGCGGGTAGGGCGTTTGCCTTACAAGCGGCCAACATGGCCGACCCGAGTTCGATTCCTCCGCCCCTCTCGGAGAGCCCGGCAAGCTACCGAGAGTATTCGATATGCCAGACACAGTAACAACAAAGTCTCCAATGGAGACGTTACTGGGCCCGCTCGAGCAAATCGACGATCAACGGGAGGGCCTTTACCTTTACCTTTACCTATTGAAAACTATATATTACAAATAAATGTGTAAGACCTAGGATGTAAACTACAGCAACAGAAACTGTTTCTATCAATGACTGTAAAGCAGTTATGCCGTTAGTGAAGACAAACAGAAGTAGTTCTTAAGATTTTTTTGGGTAATCACCAAAAGACAGAAAGGAAGATTGGAATCTCCTGCAGAGTTATTCCTATTCAAAGGTGTATTTGGCCTTGGAATGTGCTGACTTTTTTTAGTGGGTTTTGAGAATTTGTATACTGACACTCAGACAGACTTTTCTCACAGCTGCTAATGCATGGCAATAACTCAGACATCCAGGTTGGCCTTTGACCTCAACCAGAGAGCAACCATTGGTCCACTTGTCTTGGAAATATCCACCCTTTCTCTTTGCAGTCACCACTTATGGTAGCAACACCATGGGAGTTTCAACAATGCTCCAATGTGTGTGTGTGTGTGTGTGTGTGTGTGTGTGTGACCAGAGGCCCAATGATTTTGCTTTGGTCATTGCTCTAATGCTTCTCCTTTAATGTAGAACTGATCCTACCATGCCATCACCGACCATATCAGGACTTTCTTGATGTCTTTGCTGTGTGCTGTCATTTCCATCATATTCATCCAGATTCCTGTGAGTATTGTGGATTACCAATTCTCCTTGTCTTCCAAGAAGTTGGCCTCAGTCCCCATAGGAACCCTCACACCACCTCTCGCTTGCTCCCTCAGCTCTCTCTAGCTTTGACACAGTGTGCCAAAACTTGGCAGCATGTACAGCCCAGCCTGCCACTCATGGTCCTCTGAGTCACTGCAGCCACCACGGTGTAGGCTGACAAGTGAGTCACTGCAATGCAAGCAGTCAGGCTTCATGTGACAGGGATACCCTTCTGTGTCCTAGCTATCTTACACTGAAACTTCCTTCCCTGTCCTCAACATTTATGTTATTTTTATGATTTACTCGATAAAAACTTATGTTTCTAGAAATAATTGAATTGAAGTCCCACCTGAAATTGGGTTGCATTAGATCAAATGATTTTGTGGGCCTTAGGAGGCTGTCACATTAGAAGATCTTTATGCCTGCCTTGGGAACACTGTCTCACCTTTTAGGGCAATAGTTTCAATCAAGGATTATATGTCAGAACATGATCTTTATCTACATATTCACATATACATATATATTTATATTTATGTATGTGTGATATATGCACACACATGTACTTCCTCTTTCCCAATAATGTCTGAAATATCCTTTAACTTTAGTCAATTGCATTTTTATTTTAACCTGTACATAGAAACATAAGACTTTCTGTTAAAAAGAGAAACTTAGGTGCTAGAGAGACCAACGTATGTGTAAGACACTCAGCTTGTACTCGACCCACCATGATTTGATTCTCGGCACCCCATGTGATCCCCAAGACCCACCAGAGTGATCCCTGAGTACAGAGTCAGGAGTAATCTCTGAGAACAGCTGAGCATGACCCAAATAACAAAAGAGAGGGAGGGAAGGAGAGAGAGAGCGAGAGAGAGAGAGAGAGAGAGAGAGAGAGAGAGAAACTTAAAGCATCACCAGATTTCTGATTTAATTGAATATGTGACTTTAGCTAACTTTTCTTTTTTATTTAATACTACCAGCTCCATTTAACATTACATAACCTATTAAACTGTATTTAATCTACTGTTAAATCTCCTGCCCCTGCACCAGGCTGTCTTCACCTGGACCCCTGGGAGGGGGGCGGGTTGAGTTTCCCTCCCCACCCCAAGCAGAACCCTGGTAGCCAAAAACCTCCAGAACCCAGCCACAGACATGCTCAAGGCCACTATCCACATACTTAGATGAGCCTCACGCATGAAGGAACTGGCAGAAGTACCCAGGTATGCAGGACCCGGGGCTGAGATCTCAAAGCCTGCTTGGATCAGGACTTGCCTCCTCCACCCAGATCCCCCATTTTTCAGTAGCTTGGCAATCATATCTGCAAACTGCACCTGGTGCCATGTAATCCCATCAACTGCCAGTATCCAGAGACTATAAAACAAAGCTCCTGGAAGCCCTTGACCTCCTACAGCCATTGATGTACCTAAAGCAGCACACATGTGTTTGGTTTTAACATACTTGCTTATATTCTCTTATATACATTCTCTGTCCCTCTCGGAAAGTCTGGCAAGCTACAGAGAATATTCTGCCCACATGGCAGAGTCTGGCAAGTTCCCCCTGGCATATTCAATATGTCAAAAACAAAAAAACAGGTCTCATTCCCCTGACTCTGAAAGAGTCTCCAATATGGCACTGTTGGGAAGGATGAGTAAGGAGAGGTTGCTAAAAATCTCAGGGCTAGATGAATGGAGACGCTACTGGCACCCGATCCAGCAAATCAATGAACGACGGGATGACAGTGATGACACTGATACAGTGAACTATTAAATTATTATGCTACAAAGAATGGCACGTATGTATTTCTCTGTGTCACATCCAGTTAGTTTTTCCAGCCAAAGAAAGTGTCTGTTTAAAGATCTCAAAATTGAGATTCATTCAGAAATTCATTCTTGAAAGGAGGAAAACAAAGGTGTCATGAGAATTTAGAAAAATAGGTTTAGAGCTTTGAATCAATCCATTTAGTTTTCAAGAACTAAAGTGAAGATGAGAGACTTCCTTAATTTACTTCATATTAGGGCTGGAGTGATAGCACAGTGGGTAAGGCGTTTGCCTTGCGGTCGGCCAAACTGGTTGGCCCAGGTTCGATTCCTCCACCCCTCTCAAAGAGCCCGGCAAGCTACTGAGATTATCCTGCCCACACGGCAAAGTCTGGCAAGCTACCC